AATTTAATTAATTTACTAATTGTGACAGAATTGAGAGAGTCAAGTTCTCAAACGGTCACTCAGCTGCTATATAGTAAAGTGAAACTAGTACTATGTTTTAGGAATAAAAAAAGAAATTGAAGCAGAAGGCTGGCCAGAATGTTATATATATTCATGATTGTTACGTTCCCTTTGTCTTGTTATATATGATACAGTATATAGGTTGGCTTCATCATCAATGTACTTCTCATCCATCATATACTATATAATTAGCTAGACAATAATGGGCTATCTGGCCTTGGCCTTATTTATTACGTAATGTTGACCTTGCAATTAATGGAATTGGCCATTGATTGAATCAACGTTTTGACGCCTCATTTGTTGGTAAAACTGAAGGATGAAGAGCTCGGCCTTGGCATCGATCATGTCATCAGCGCCAATAGCATCGAAGACTTTGTCAGGGTCATCTTCATCTTCCTCCTGTTCGTCGAGGTCTTGGAGATTGCTTGCGGAAGCGTACTGGCTCATGGTCTCCGATGAGGCTGAGGCCGAGGCCTGGTCATCTAGTGATTTCAGATCGTTTGCTGAAGCGTATTGGCTCATGGTATCCAACTGATCTAGTGATTTGAGATCGTCAGCAGAAGCGTACTGGCTCACTGCAGAGGGTGACGTGGCACAATATAATGTATTATTATTATTAATATTATTATTATTATTGTCCTGCAGATGCAAAGGGCGCATAGAACCCACCAGCTTCTTCCAATCTCCCTGTTGGGTTATTACCTGAGCAGCTTTCTGCTTTCCTTTTGTTCGATGGCGCAATACGAACATTGCAGCTTTGAAGAAGCCGAAAACGCCTGGTGGCTTCGCCTTCTTCTTATTCTGATCGTCATTTCTGTTGTCCTTGATGGCGACCACGCCTTCCGTCATTCTTTGATATTTATTAATTAATTTGCCTTAGCCCTCCCTGCAAAATGCAGGGTGAGTTATAGGAAAAAGATTTTGGATATAACTACCGCACTTCTTATGCTCTATATAGGAGGAACATTTCTGTTTTCTTGGCAACATTTGTCACCACAATAAATCATTCATTTATTCAAATTAACACATTATTAGGACAACCAAAGGCTTCTATTTTCTACTTTACCTGAGTTTTCTCCTCATCAACCAAATGCATAATTGATTTAAAAAAAAAAAAAAAAAGATATACACGGGAAAGAAATAAGTTTATATTTTGTAGAAAAAAATTCAAACACTTAAAATTTTGCAAAAGAAATAAAGCACTTGTGCTCGACATGAAGTAATTATTCGTACCATGTAAAATGACTGATATAAAATAACAAATACTATGTATATTTAAAACTTAAATTAATGAAAAGAATACAAAGATATACAATTTATCATTATCTTATTTATGATACTCATTTGGCAAAATTGTACAAGAAACCAAACAAAGTCCATAAACTGCTGAGGATTTCATGTTCATGAAAAGAATAATCTTAAGAAATGCAAATTGCATGTCCAAACAAAAATTCAACTTCATAACAATGCAATCATATCACAAGTCTTAATGGGCCCTCACGTGTGAAAGACAAACTACGGACCCCAAGATAGTATTATAATGGCAGGATCATTAAGATATTAACAGAATGAGCAGATTTCATGCTTTTGGACACTTGTGTGCATCCATGTTGTGGTTCATTTCATTTCGACGAACAGAACTGGGGCATATCTCTAAGCATGGCTCTTTAAGAGCATCGTCCACTTCTTGCTGAGGAGGAAGAATCCCAAATTTAAACTGCATTAGATTGGGACAGCGTTATGTATGTTTCCATGGTGTTTCTTGTAGGCACAAAATCAAATCAGAAGAATCACATGCGTGTGTTGCAAAAACGTCAACTTTTATGATTATGTCAACAAGAAGTGTATTATATCAGCATGACTTATTCTCTCAGGGCTTTTCAAGGGGCATTACCAAGCATTTTAATTTTAGCCTCAATTCCAATAAACCTCCAAATGGTGTGGGTGTGTTACCAATTATATGTTTAAGATGCATGAACAAATATACTTTGCAACCGCACCATCACCTGGCCAATGAAAACAGTTACCTGACAACTATAATCAATGAAGTTTGGCTCCATCAGCAATGGAACTCCCATGTGATCCTTGAAGAAAGTCTAAAAGAAAGGCAGAAATGTGATGGCCAGCTCACATAAGAAGCTCAGATAGGCCTTTTAACATAGTTGATGCATTTTTAGTAGTCATTAGTTAAGTTCAAGAAGCTAATAACACAGATGGAAACATCCTAGTTCACACAATTTAGATAATCTGCCTCTAAATTTTATAGAACTCGAGTTAAGATTTGAGTGCTCTCTAAAATTCCTTAAGTTAGCATATACATGTACTATTAACATCTTTTGAAAAACAATGTACGAGGAAAAACACCATTATGATAAATAGCATGAGATCTCATTACAATAACTTTGAACTGAAGTAATGGATGTAAAAATTTGACAACTCATGGAAGCTACTGTATAACTCAATCAGCAGCTCCATTACACTAATACATACTCCCTCTGTTCCCGGTTTTGACTTGGCACAGAATCCAAGTAAAGAATACTTAGGAATTTTGTGGTCTTAAATTTCTATCTACCAAAATACCCTTAAATCTTATGGTCTTAAACATGCTTTGTGGAAAATTAAAATTAAAGTGTTCCCAAAAAATTAAAGGAAAGAGTTATTTTTTTTGAAACGTACTAAAAAGGGAAACAAGACAAACAAGAGGAAGTAAAAAAGGAGCATTTGAAGTGAAAGATTTTAGCCCATCAGCTTATTAGAAAGTGTTAACAAAATTATTGCTAAGCTGCTAGCTGGCAGAAAGGCTCAAGCTGGTAAAATTGATAAGTTAGTTTTGGAGTGTTGGATGATTTTGTAAAGGGTAGGCAGATATAGATGCAACTATGGTGGTTAATGGAAGTTTTGAACACTCGATGATGTTGACGAAAAGATAAGGCATACACATGCTCCGTATAATCCAGACAGATAAAAGGAAAAAAAGAAAATAAGGGGAAACATGAATGAAGTAAATACAGTCTACAAGAAATAGATTTTTCCCAAGAAATGTTTTTTTTTAATAAACAATATTAAAGCCGCAATCAAAATACTTTACCAGATAAAGAATGACAAAGGTTCAGCAAAGACCCATTAGGAACTATAGTTCTCAATCTAGAAAACTGACCTGTGTAGGGAGTTTACATGTATTAATACATACACCCACACATTTGCTCTCTTCCAAATACTTGCATTTCTCCACAAAAACCTATTGAAATAATTATTTGCAAGAAATCAAAATAAGAGTGAACACATTTTAGGAATCTCTGATGAAAAATATATATATACAGAGAGTAAGGTAAGGGAATAGAAATACTAACCCCACTCATCAATGAGGAACCATTTGGAAGATGTACGGAATTAACAGTACATGGACCCATAAGCCATTGGCAAGATAATGCAGTCACCCTTGCTTTCAGAAGTAATAACAATCAAATGTTCAGATGAGAAGTAGCTATTTAACGGGAAGAAAACAGAAGAATATCACTCACCGACCATCAAGGCTGCAAATTTACCACTATGTATAGGTGCAATAAGCATCCGGTAGAGCTCCAACAACAAAGGAGGAAATAATGATTTCAATATACGAACCTGTCTGTCACATTATCAAAAATATGATCCCGATATGAAAAGCTACTAGCTCGACAGGCTATGAATGAAAAAGAAGAGTAAGTTGTTACCGATGCGTCTCTAGTTTTGGAATTGTCTTGACTAACCGTCAGACGATGCGCCACTTCAATTAGACCCTGGTACCCCGGCTTTTCGGAGTCCCATCCTGTCTCCTACAAAAGGCACCCTATTTGAGGTGAGGAAACGAAGTGGAGTTGAGCTGGAGGGTGAAAGGGGTTTATTTACCTGGACCATTTTGTTCCGGAATAAACTAAGGAACAGATTATCAAACACCTTGGGCTTTCTTGCTTCAATCTGGGGGAATGAGCAGAAATAACTTGTAAGAAGAAATCAAATAGTAAGACAGAAAAGGGGGGAAGAGCGTTTCGTTTCACACAGGTTCTGATGTACTGTTTGAGAAACACGAAACCCGAATACCGCTTTTTCCATGGTAAACTTTGGGCCAAGCGAAGAGGGGCGAGGATAGAGGAACCATAGCCATCACCGGACTTCCAATCCCTTCTATCTTCCTTCCTTTCGCGGTTGTCCAATCATTATAATGATAATTTTTTTTTCTCACTCCATTAATTATACATTAACGTTAGAATTAAAGCAAATGTATTTATATGATTCAAATCATAGCGATTTTAAGTAGCAGTACTTATTTAGTATGATTTTCTTTTTAAAAATATGCATAATTAATATAGGTATAAATTATATATTGTATTATGTATAATATAGATTATATAATTAAAACATAGTGTGCATATCAAGGCTCTTTAAAAAAGAAAAGTTATATTTTAAACATTAACCGTGAGAAATATATTAAAAGATTTAATATGGTTTAGTCAATCGCTTATAAAGAAAACTAACAATTCACTATAAATAAAAATGAGAGTGAAAAATATAAAGAGAAATAACATCAATCAGTTCATCACTCGAAATACGAGGAGGTTCAAAAATTTTCTCTCACAATCAAAACTCTCAAACTACATTGTGAATGATGATTAAATTAGACGAAGATATATTTATAGATTTCTTAAACTTTTGAAAAAGACTATTGAAATCTTAAACATTTATTTCAACTAATTAAATGGATAAATTGTTCCAGGCAATCCTTTTCCTATATTTCCAGTTTTTAATTATTGTTTGTATTTATATTATATAGTTGTAAAGAAGATTCCATTAATTAATAATGAGTATTAATAATATTAATAATGAATGAATGATCACTATATATATATATGATAATAATGTTCCCGGTCGTCTATGACTCTAACTAAAACGATATTACATTGAAATTATCTTCCTCCAAGGCCAAGGTAAAAAGGTGCACCAGTGTGCTTCAACCAAAGATATCCATTAATCCAGCGGTCGACTGTGTATTGAACCGCTTCAAGTGGGTTAATAAGACGGAAGTTCTTGAAGCTCTTGTTCCTGTTATTGATGTTTGCACCGGGTCCGCGGTTGGCAAACTCGTAGTAATTACATGTCCGCTCGAATGATTCTCCTTGCCATATCATCCAACCTTCTGGGCGGATGAAATCACCCAATTCGCTCTCCATGAATACAGTGGTTGCATAAGGCTTCCAGGGACGCCCCAAGTATGATGCCAGCTTGAACCTATCTGCAAACAATTCCATTTCTGGAACGATTCTGCAGTTCTGGAACACCAAACCACCTGGTTTGTTTGCTATTTCTTTGCCATCAGCGGTGATGGTGTTGAACTGGCTGTCCAAAGGTCTCCTCGCTATGATCAAACTGTTTTGGATTACTGCTGACCCCCTTCCAAATATGAAATCTATCGTACCAGAGATGACACAGTTGCGGTAAAATTGGCGATGGTTTTGATAGTACAAGGTGTCTTGATAACCTTCAATGCTGCAGTCAAAAACAGCAGCCATATCACCGTTAATTCGAAGAGCCACAGCTTGGTGACCTTGTGGACCAGCAGTGTTGCGGAAGGTAATTCCCCTTGCAACGAACCCATTGCCAAGAACAGCAAAAGTAGCAGTGTCTTGGGTGGGTATTTTCATGATACCAAAGTTTCTATGTCCAGTAATAATGGTTTTCCCTGCTCCATCGCCATAGATGAAGACGTTTGGTTGCTTCTTGGAGATGATGACTTGCTCCTCATAGATACCAGCTTTAACATACACTATGTATTTGCCTCTATGGTTTTTAGGATAGGCAGCTAACGCAGCAGCGACGGTGTTGTACTGACCAGTGCCATCCTTGGCGACCACTGCATGAGGAGCTGCCCTATGTCGTCCACCTCCAGCTAAAAGCTTACGGTCGGCAACAGGGAACCAGGTAGGGTAATTAGCAAGGAGGCGACGATGACTAGATGTTGATGGAATGGTGCTTGAGATGTTGAAAGCGTCTTGGAGGACGTTTGAAATCTTTGCTACAATGTTAATTGCATTGTGTGTGAGTTGGGTTGCATTTCGCATGCCATTTTCTAAGACTTGTTTGTAATCAGGCTTATCAATTATACCATCGAGACACATGCTTTGATAGGAGTAGACCGCACCGAGCCAGTTCAATAGTTCGCTCACACGATCACCAAGGGAATGCAATGCGGTATCCCCAACCATAGAGTAGGAGTCGTGGAGTTCCTCCACAGCATATTGCAACAGCTCTTTGCAATCCTCTACTGCCATGTGATTGTACGGATCCGTTTTATTATCAATAGGATTACCCTTCTCCACAACCGCTAAAGATTTCTTTATTTCATCCCCTGTCACTTGCAACGAAGCCAACAGGTAGTCTTTCATCGTAGCACTATCGTTCTTAGACACTGCATCAAGGCTCTTAAAACAAGCTATTTCGAATTCTGCAGGTTTACAGAACTCCACAATCGATGCCTTCATTTGGACTTTAGGATTTTGTCCTGCATGATCTTTTGACCCTTTGTGCACAACGATCGCCACTCCCAATACAACACCCACCACAAGAAACAATGATACCAAAGAAACCACGATTTTCCCCACCATCTTTTATATATATATATATATATATATATATCGAATTAATTCTTATATTCGACCGGGACAAAATGCATGTATTAATAATAAAAGAAAAATAAAATAAAACAACTAATGGCGCCCGCAGTTAGAGGTTATTCCTCCAATAGGTTACACTAGTCGTTGAACATGCATATATAAAAAGAAGATGGATGGATGAATTAACCATCATGTTATGAGCAGCTTTATATAGAAGATTGTACGGACGATTGTGCTCCATTCACTTCGTCGCCATCCATCCATTGTATAGAATAATGGCGAACCACTAATTAGGAACCGTCAAATTAGTGGATTTCATTTTTTATGTTTTCTTAAAAAATAGAGCATCAATAAATTTATATATAGTTAGTTGATTATTCCTGTCTATGTTTTGGTTATAGCTATTCTCTTAAATGAACTGCATTTTTGGTTAAATAAGCTATATAAAAATGGGAAAATGTACCCAAAAAAATTACTCATTTTCCGAATTTGTCAATAAAAATTTTAAAAAAATTGTAGAATTAAAGGTTATTATATTTGTTTGTGAACTTCTGAAGTTAATTATATATTTATACTTTTCATATTTTTAATTAATGAATTACTCATTTTCGAGATTTTCTGGAAAAAAAAAAATCAAATTTTAATTAAAATATTGAAGTTGTTGGATTTAAGATTACTATATTTATTTTTGAATTTTTGGCGTTAATTTTATATTATTTTTTTCATATTTTTCTTATTTTTTATTAATCAATTACCCATTTTCGAGATTTACCAAAAAAATAAAAATTAATCAAAATTGTTAAAAATGAGTTGGATAATTTATTTAAAAGGGTCATTGATTTATGGGTTGAATTAGGTGTTTGTGAGTCCGAATCTCTTTCCATTTCCATATAAATGTCATGTGTTAAGGTCAAATGACATCACAAATTCCATGTGACATTTAGATAAATGAAAAATGAATTGGAAACATATCAACTAACCACATAAGGACATATCTTGGTCACAAGTTGGACGGTAAGGGCATGAGAAACCCAAACTTTAAACGAAAGGTATATCTAAACCTTTTCGAATAGTTTAGGGGCATATTTGACCTTTTCCCCATTTTTATATAGCTTATTTTGATAAATTCGTGCAAGCTTAGAAAGGCAATCGTCTTGACTAGAAAAGAGTAGTATGTATCAATGAAAAATAAAAGGTAGTACAAATTGAGAATATGCTTGCTCAACTAATAGTTGTCACATTTTTCTTTCAGATTTTTGACGACTTTTTAAAATTATCAAAACAGATTTGTCCGTCACCACTGCCGAATTGGTCAAAGAGATAGTTTTTGACGCAGCTTAACGACTTAGTTTCATCAGTTAACGTGAGTGAAGGGTAAAAAACTACTGCAACGACTTAGTTTCAACACAACCCTGTTTTTCAGCTATCAAAATTGCATATTTTCTCAGCGTCACCAACCAACAGAAAGGAAGTAAATGAAACAAAAGAACAAAGGAGACAAATAAAGCAAATACTTATGACATCATCTATCCCATTCAGTGTCCCACAAAGTTTTGGATTCAAATAATATGTCAATATTATAGCACACAAACACAATCCCTCAAGTGCAAGGACGCCTGGAACTATTTCCATCGGGCATGCATCTATCATTCTGTTATATCCCTCGTACCAAATCTGTGATCAATGACAAATGAATCCATCACTCAACTGAGCATGCTGCATACAAATTTGCCATTGGACACCACTAGCTTCTCCCCTTTAATGACCGTATCTAGTGGTAGTGGGCTGAAACTCCGAGATGGGCCATAAAAATGAGGAAAGACATTTGAGTCACCGACAGCTTCATAAACCAACCCATTCCCAAGCTGAAAAAAAAAACCATCATAACAGGGGAACATCTCGTGACAAACTTTTCATAAAAATTGCAACTTTTCATAAAAGTCGCCACTTTTCATCAAAGTCGCAACATTTCATAAAAGTCACAACTCTTCATAAAAGTCGCAACTCTTCATTTCTATTCACACCTTTTTTTTTAAATCCAACAATCCCCCGCATGAATGGGGAATGACTCGAAGACAAAGAAACGGACAAGTATGTGTACTTTACAAGCAAGAATTAATTGCATCTGGATAAGTAGGTTTCCCCTTGGACTTTCCTTAGTGAACATATGTCGGATATACTCGGTCAATCGGTAGATGCGATATCTTTGAACCGTCGAACTTTGGTGTATACCTAGACAACCATATGTCGCACAATTAACCTTTTACCATTTATGGTTCTTACGGTTGTGTTCGTTTTAGCCATGAACACCTCCTGGTTTCATGAGTGTATAGAGAGATGGGCTTTTGACAATCATCTTCTTTGAAGCGGCTTACACTTCACACTCACATAGGTGATTTCTAACCGTGTTATCGGGTAGATACACTATTTGGTTAACTCTGTCAAACTTAGAAAATCATTAAAACCATTAAGCTTTATTAACTCATTAACAAGCCTTAATGTTGTATCCTTGTCCCTGAGCATCGTCTTCATCATGAGAATGGATTGAGTTTATTGACAATGCCGAACCGTCATTCACAACTTTATTTTTCTCCTTGAATCTAGCTCTTTGGATCTCCAGTCTGCTAGATAGAGTTACCGCCATGATGACTTGTCCTAAGCCGTAAATTCATTCTCTTAGATGATCTTTTAACTTTCTCTCTAGTTATGCCTTTTTGTAAGTGGATCCGACACATTATCCTTTGACTTTACA